ATTCACGGACACACTATACGTGGTCTTATTACAATCCTGTATAACCTTGTATTACCTTTTTTTTATTTTATTTTTTTGTTTGAGGGGGGAGGGAGGGAGGGATTGGCTGTGAAGTGTTTAATGTAAATGATCATTGTAAGAGTAGTTTTCCTTTATCCATACGAGTTATAAGAAGATCTTCCTTGTGGACACAACAGACATACACAGAGAGGGATGTTACAGAATCAATTTAAATGATATGCTCCTTTTGGTCTTTGGATGTGTTTCTTTAAAGTATATATTTTTTTTATATGTTAAGCATATTTGGATGAGCTTAAAAAAAGTGGTACTTAAAAAGTACAATTTGATCTTTTATTTAAGCAAGATTTGGTACTTTTCAAACATAAAAAGATAAAAGATTTATCTTTTATTGAAATTTAATAATTAATTAATAAGTATGATCCAATAAATTATAACCGTTAAATTGATGGAAATCAATAGTTAAGATTTGGTAATAAGAGGTAGTAAAAAAAAAAAGATACTAAGTATAATTTCTCCCTACTTTTTAATATATTTGATCATGTTGCTTTTTAAATATAACCTCTTCTTTTAAATATTTTTTAAAATTAATTTTATTTGAAGTTTAATTTAAAGATGTTATTGTTTTAATTAAATCGAATATAACTCATCCTCAATAATTACACTAATTACAATTTACAAGTAGAGAGTCTGCAGTATTATCAAGGATTGTGGTGTGACTTTATAAGAAACTAAATTATTCGTTTCATACATCCTTAAAGCACGCTTCGCTTTCTTTGTTTTCAATTTCCTTAATAAACGAATAAAGAGAATAACCTCAAAATCGAATGGGTGCAGCTCAGTTGGTAATTTGGTGCTGAGTTAGTGGGGTTGGATATGTGTTCGATTTTCGCTGAATGCATTCTTGGAGAGGGGGTTGAACTTTTAGCCATCACTGTTCCCCCGCACTCCGGATTAGTCTCATAGCCGGCTCAAAGAGTCGAAGCTCGTGGGGATACCGGAGGGAGCCAACTCGTCTCAAAGAGATAATTAAGGTTGGGTAACTCCAAAAAAAGAAGAAGAGAATAACCTCAAAAGGAATAAAAAAAAATGGGACGATTACCGTTTCGAAATCAGCTAACTAGTCATATTGCTTATATAATACTTGACAATTGACATCATCCTTATACTTTTACAAGACTTGTTTATGATATTTTCCTCTAATTTTGTTTAAAATATAATATTATTTAAATTAATTTAAAAGATATAAACTATATTGAACAAGATAAGGATTAATGTATGTTTGGGAGCTTTTATTTTTTAACTTCTCTTCGTACGTTTAACCAAACATACTTTTATAAAAGCTTTTATCATAAAAAGAACATTTTATATAATTAAGAAAAAAATTAAAAATTAAAAGCTCCTAAAAAGAGCTTTTTTAAGATGTATATCAGCTTGGAAAAAATGTTTATCCTTTTAAACGACACAACTTATATCCTTTCATTTTCACAAAAAAGTGAGACCCACACCTTTATTTTTTTTGTCAACTCTCTCTCCTCCTTTATCTATCTCTTTCTCTCTCTTAAAATGACATAATTTTACATCCTTTAAAATGATACACATTTTTCCCATATCAGCTTTCTAGAGTTTTTACATTTATTTTCTATTTATACTTTTATTCTATATAAATTTTATTATTTATCCTAATAACAAATTATTTCATTTTCCTCCCTTCAAAATGTTAAGAACAACTTTATATAATTATCAAATAACTTTTACCTTTATTTTTAAGCTCTTTTTTTTTTAACTTTAACTTAAGAGTTGTTTTTAGTTTAAGAAAAAGTGTAAAATATGCTTTTAGAATTAGGCATAAATATAAGATAAGATAATATTTGATATATAAACAGCTTTTGTTACTATCCTTATCTGTTATCTTGTATTTGTGTATTTATATATAGATGTCTCTTTAGTAATGAAAATGACTTTAATTCCATCTAATAATATAAATATCAATATATAATAATTATAAAAAATAAAAAATAACATTTGAAAATTGGATAAAAAATAGGGATAGATTATTCTACCTACCATTTTTTTCTGTCTACATCTCTCTCTAACCGGTTGAAACCTCTCATGAATAAACTTGTCTCTCCTTTTCAAACCAGCTTTGTACCAGGTAGGAACATTCATGATAAAGTAATAATTGCCCAAGAGTTGACTCATACCATGAACAGATTGACAGGGAAAAGAGCTTTCATGTCAATCAAAATTGATTTAGCTAAGGCCTACGATAGATTGAACTGGGGCTTCATTCATAACGTCCTTGTTGAGGCATGTATTCCTCTTGATTTAGTTAACTTGATCAAGTGCTATATTACTTCAACTCAATTTTAGGTCCTATGGAATGGTGGTAGAGCTGAGAAGTTTACTCCTTCTAGGGGTATTCGGCAAAGGGATCCCATCTCCCCTTATATCTTTATCCTTTGCATGGATAAACTGTCTCATCTCATTTTGGAAGCGATGGGGAACAACACTTGGAAGCCCATGAAGGTTGGGAGAGCTGGCCCCCCATCTCCCATCTGATGTTCGCAGACGACCTGGTTTTATTTGGGGAAGCTTCGATGGTGCAGTTGGACACCATGCTGGCTGCATTAACAAATTTTGTGATATATCGAGTCAGCTTATCAGTATTGAGAAGTCATTAATCTACTTCTCTAGGAATACAGATCAGCTACTAAAGGATAGTATTATCCAGACTAGTGGGTTTAAACCTGCTGATTCGCTGGGAATCTACCTTGGCTCTATGTTATTTCATGGTAGGGGTAGAAGGAAGAATTTTTCCAGGATCCTCAATCGCGTAAAGGTGAGGCTCTCCAGCTGGAAGAGTAACCTGTTGTCTTTCGCGGGAAGAGCAACACTAGCCAAGTCTGTTATTAGTACCATCCCTACATACCAGATACAACATGACTCCCTTCCCATTTCTATCTGTAACGAGATTGATCAGAATCAGCGTGGCTTCATTTGGGGAGATACCAGAGACAAAAAGAAGGCCCACCTTATCTCTTGGGAGAAGCTTTGTAAACCTAAATACGCAGGTGATTTGGGGATCATGAATCTTAGAGCTCATAATGAAGCCTTCCTCTTCAAGATAGTGTGACAGATCCTCAACAACAGTGAGTATCTCTGGGTACAAGTCCTCATCAGAAAATATAAGAGGAACATGGATTTTAGGAGGCAAACTAAGTTCCAAAGCTACGATTCCAACCTTTAGAAAAGTCTCTGCAGAATTTGGGAGAAGTTCTTAGATACTCTTAAATGGGAAGTTGGAAGCGGTACAGATTCTCTCTTTTGGGTTGATAGCTGGACTGATCTGGATAGTCCCCTCAAAGACCTAGCCTTATGTCCCATTAGCCAAGATGACATGCAAACCAAAGTGGTAGACCTACTGGACAATCTTACAGAAAACTGGCATATAGATATCCTTCATGATTACTTTCCTTCATATGTGGTTCATCACATTCGTTCGATTATTCCTCCGCGTGCTGATAGAGGCCCAAACCGCCTGATTTGGAAAAACAAGGTGAGTTCAGCAGGGATGGTGAGGTTTGCTTATCAAAGAATTATGAAGTTTGATGTACAAACCCTTGACACCGTTTGGAAGTAGAAAGGCCCCACTAGGCTCAAAATGTTTGTGTGGACGGTTCTCCATGGTCGTTTGCTCACAAGAAACATCACCTCTAACTGGGGTGGCTCTAGTTGTTGCCACATTTGTCCAGACACTATAGAGAACCTCTCCCATGTGCTTAGGTGTTGCATTAAGGTTAAGACTATTTGGTTGGCTTGGTTCGCGGGAAACCTTCCTCATAACTTTATTTCAATGCCTTTGGAGGAGTGGATTAGGAAGAACCTTTATTCTGGTTGGAACCATCCTCAAGCTTTAAACTAGCGAGATATCTTCCTATCCACCATTTGGTTCCTGTGGGTATGGAGGAATAATGAAGTGCATGATCCTTCCTTTTCTCGTTCCATCAGCCCTATCATCATTATTTCCTCCTATATCAGTGATATATACCACGCGATTCCAAGGCTTGGTCATACCCCCATTAGACCCCCAGAGTCCCAACCTGTGAACTGGACAGCTCCACCGCAAGGTAAGTGGAAGATTAATGTTGATGTCGCGGTTAAGAGGACGTCTAATGCTGCTTATTGTGGGGGGTTAATAAGAGACGATAGAGGAAACTGGTTAGCGGATTTCACCTACAACATTGGTATATGTTTTACTTTAGCAGCGGAATTCTGGGCCATAATTAAAGGTCTTCAATTAGCTTGGAGCCTTCAAGGGAAAGACCTGATTATGGAGAGTGACTCCCTTCTTGCTATCCAAGCCATTTCTAATGATATTAGGAATGCTGAGAACAATGCTTTTGTACAAAGTATCTACCAGTGGAGGGACAAGGATTGGCATGTTACCTTCCAGCATGTTCGAAGAGATGCAAACATGTGTGCTGACTGGTTAGCAGACCTGGCTTCGCAAGTTCAAGATAACTTTCTGTTTATTGCTTCTTGTTCCCTTGGACTAAGGCACATTTTAGATTCTGAAGTTCCTTTAAGTAGTTAGTTTTTTTTTTTTTGTTTTTTTTTGTTTTTCTAGGCTCCTAACCCCTTCTTTGTACTAAAACAAAAAAAAAAAAAAAGAAAAGAAAAGAAAAGAAGGTCTTTCTTTTCTTGTCTTATCTTCTTAACCCCGTTTGAACGCTACTAGTCTTTACGCTTAAGGAAAAAAAGTAACAACCTACGCGCTTCCGTCATTTAACAGTTCAACCCTGTCCGAACACGAAGTTTCTGCCTCTCTCTCAACCGCACGCGCCACGCGTTAATACCCACACATTCACTTCCTCTCGCTCTCTCTCTCTCTCTCTCTCTCTCTCTCTCTCTATATATATATATCCTCCCCGTCATCTTCAATCCCCCATTGACTTCTCATCTCTCTCTCTCTTAAAGAAGATATCAACCCACACACTCAGTGGTAGTTGAATTGAAACCAACCCTCCCTTCTTTTTCTTCAATATACCCACATTCTCATAACTCTTAATTTTTCACAATCATTATTGAATCAAAAAAAAAATAAAAAAAAATGAATGACTTATTCTCCGGCTCGTTCTCTCGCTTGCGTAACGACCAAGCCTCGCCGGAGCGCCACCACGTCATCGAGATGACAGCCGCCGCAGGCGGCGGAGGAGGCAACGGCGGTGGAGTTAACCTTGACAAATTCTTCGAGGACGTGGAGGGAGTAAAGGAGGAGCTGAAGGAACTTGAGGAGCTAGCACAGAGGCTACAGAGTAGCCACGAACAGAGCAAGACGGTGCACCATGCAAAGGCCGTTAGGGATCTTCGTTCACGCATGGACGACGACGTTTCGGTGGCTTTGAAGAAGGCCAAGGTCGTGAAGCTTAAGCTCGAGTCTCTTGAGCGGTCCAATGCTGCGAACCGGAACCTCCCTGGCTGTGGACCCGGTTCGTCTTCAGACCGAACTCGAACCTCCGTGGTCAACGGTTTGAAGAAGAAGCTTAAGGACTCCATGGAGAAATTTAACGATCTTCGCCAGCTGATCTCGTCGGAGTATAGGGAAACCGTCCAACGCCGATACTTCACCGTCACCGGCGAGAACCCCGATGACAAGACCCTTGATCTGTTGATCTCCACTGGTAATGTTTTTGTTCTCGATGAATATTCATTCTTCAACCACAAAAAAATGTTGACATTTCTTGCAATTGTTTATTTGAAAAAACATGTTTATGCTAATTTGATTTCACAGTTTATTGATGATTAATTTCTCCCTAATTCTTTGAATCTAGTACATCAAATTAAGATAAAATGGTCAATTTACATTAAAAAATCCACTTCCAATTAATCCTCGACTAGAGAGGTAGGGATGAGTCTTGCATTAATATATTATTTGAGAATTGAAAAACAAATAGGACTTATGAAATTATTGGAGAATATAATAACATTGGAACTGGTTCTCCAAATTCAATTCAAAGTATGTGAAGTTTGTGATGTTGAAGTCTACCTCTTTGTGCTTTTAATTTTTTGGAGTTCGGGAGGGGTCCTATTTTGTCTGGAACTGTGGTTTGATACAAATTTGTGAGGTTCTATGATAATAAGAGAGTTTGGCTTTTATGCAGGTGAGAGTGAGACTTTCCTTCAGAAAGCCATTCAAGAACAAGGGAGGGGTAGAATTCTGGACACCATCAATGAGATTCAAGAGAGGCATGATGCTGTCAAGGAGATAGAGAAGAATCTGAAGGAGTTGCACCAAGTGTTCCTTGACATGACTGTGTTGGTGCAATCTCAAGGTGAGCAATTGGATGATATTGAGAGCCATGTGGGGAGAGCTCACTCGTTTGTGCGCACTGGAGCTGAGCAGTTAGTGACTGCAAGGAAGCACCAGAAAAACACAAGGAAATGGACCTGTTTTTGTATTATACTTGTTCTTGTGATCATCTTGTTTGTGGTGCTCTTCACTGTGAAACCATGGCAACATAATGGCAGTGGTGGCAATGGTGGTAATCAGCCTGCTCCGGTTCAAACACCTCCATCTCCTCCTCCTCCTCCTGCTGCTTAACCTTAGGGATTAAGAGTCTATAAACTCCTATATACATATTGGTTTCATTTTCATTTTTTTGTTTTTTGAGTTGAAGATTGAGATATTATGTTTTGGTATCTGGCAAGATTGAGACTAACATGGATTAGCATATGATTTGAAAGGAAATCTGTAGAGTGACCAACAGTTTTATTTCAATCCATGGAAAGATTGGATGATGGATCTATATCTGTACTATTGGAAGGAAATGGTTTATTATTCTGTTGAGGTAGATTTTGGAGATCCTTATGTTGAGCATCATATTCTTTTTCTGTAACTATCTTATCTGTTTGATGAGTTGCATTGCTGACTGATGGTTTATACGTATTTGCTTTTGTGGGATCTTTCCCTAAATCTGATGTACAATATTTTACTGTCCCCTTGTGCATCATTTCTATTCTCTTTATTGTACAAATTTGTGAGGCTCGCAGAGCAATGTTGCAAATGTTTCCAACTGATGGGTACGTTTAATTATCTATGTATAAAACTCTGTATGCAACTTTAAGTTAAAAGCTCAACTCAGTTTCAGCTGAATCTGTTAATAATAGAATTGACAAGTTTACATTATCCCCTCTCAGTAGTTTTGGATCTAGAAGATAGAGATTAATTGAACTTAAAAAATTATGAGGGCTATCAGTGTGCATCTCTATAGTTTTGTCATCTATAGATGAAAACGAGCATGGAGAATGATGATGGTGAAAAAGGGATATATTCATAGATTTATCTATAAGGTTTTTATTTATTTAATATAAACCGCTTTAGAGAATTAGCCTTGAATTATTTATGTGACCTCAAGTGATTGCTTGAATTGGTTGGACCTTTTCAAGTGACCTAGTCAACTCAAGTCATCAAATAAAGTCCATTTTGGTTGAGTGTTAACTGGATCAGTATGTGTCGAATTAGGGTGTGCAGATGCCTCGAAAGAGGATGCAACAAGTGAGGAGCTCCCAACAAAGTGCATTTGGCATATCAGCATATATCAATGAAACAATCAACTGAAATCAATTCATATTAAATATAATGAGAGAGTTCTAAAGAAGTCATTCAATCTAAAAGTTTAAGTTGATGAGTGAGACTATATTAATGATTTTATATAAATCTAATACGCTATCTCACACGAGAGCCCACTGATTTTAGGCAAAGGCTGAGAATCAAGAGAGAGTGTGAGAGAGCTCTAGGTCACTGAATTTCGACTGAGTATCAACGAGGTAAATGAGTAAGTAAAAGGTGTCTCTTCCATAGTGGAAAAGGAGTATTTATAGGAGAAGAAAGATTTCTATATGTGAGAGATGGATCTTTAACATTTTTCCCTTGTGGCACTTGCAAGGAGTGAGGCAAGCCTCCTTAGCTGTGTGTGTGAGGTTGTGGAGCCAGGGTTCTAGTGTAGTGAGAGAACATTTGTCTCACTATAGAAATGTAGGATTTAGCCCCTCTCATGGGTCATAGTGGCAGACCTAATGGTTTACACAATAAGAAATTTGATATAATTTAATTAAATTTTTTAGACATTTAAGGGTGAATATTAGATGAGTCAAGGTATAAAAAATTAATTAATTATTTAAGTGTTAATAATAATATCAATTCATTTGTATAAAAATTTAACAAAAATTTTTATTTCATATTTTTATATGAATACATTTTCAATTAGTTTAATATAAACTCAAACTCAAAAAATTAGCAGTGACAAACCGAAATACTAAAATATTCAAAAAAACATTCTTTATGACTAAAGGTGGATACAAGTTTCAAATTGCCAAAAATATTAGGGGTGTGCAAAATATCAAAAAAATCTGAACTACATTGAGAACCGCACCAAATTAAACAAAAAAAAATCGATTTTTCAAACCAATTCATGAACCTAAATCAGTTTTAATTTTTAAAAATAATTCATTTATTAACTGGTTCAGGATTATTTATAACCAATTCGAACTAAACCAAACCATTTAGACTTAACAGTTCTTTTACATCTTAAGAACTAAATCATTGAAACATATTAGCAATATTAACAATGGAGATCATATCTAAGAGAAAGCAGAGAAAAATAAAATTTTGTATATTCATTGATCGATTTCATTGTACAAACAGTAAGGAATTTAAAGGAAAGGGAGCAACAAATTCTGTTACAATGAGTGAGTGATGTGGCCACTAAGCAAAGATAAAATGAAAGAATAAAAAAATACAAGAAAGTAATATGCTAATATTCTAATATTCCCCCTCAAGATGGAGAATAGATGTTAATTATTCCCATCTTGGAAAGAAGCTCAGAAAAATGTCTTGAATGAAGAGCCTTAGTCATCATGTCAGCAAGTTGATGAGGAGAAGCAATGTGGAAAGTCTTAATCTGGCCATGAAGGATGCAATCACGGACAAAATGGCAGTCAATCTCTATGTGCTTGGTATGTTCATGGAAGACAGGATTATCAGCTATATGGAGAGCTGATTGATTGTCACAAAACAAATGAGTAGTTGAAGAATGTGGAAAACTGAAATCCTTAAGCAGCTGTAGTAACCACAAAATCTCACAGGAGGCATTGGCCATAGAACGATATTCTGCCTCAGCAGAGCTGCGTGAAACAGTGTGTTGCTTCTTGGATTTCCAGGAAATTAAAGAAGCCCCAAGAAATACACAAAAACCAGATACAAACCTTCTACTATCAGGGCAAGAAGCCCAGTCTGAATCACAAAATACCTTTAGTTGAGAAGCAAAATTAGAAGAAAAAAAATAAACCTTGACCAATAGTGGCCTTGACATAAGCCAAAATTCTGTATGCTGCCTGTAAATGGGGAACCCGAGGATGAGCCATGAATTGGCTGAGATGGTTCACTGCAAAGGAGAGATCTGGCCTAGTAATTGTTAAGTTTAAAAGTCGGCCAATGAGTCTTCTATAAGGAGTAGGATCAGACAGAAGATCACCATCTTGAGAGGACAACTTCAAATTAACCTCCATTGGAGTAGATTTAGGCTTGCAGCCAGTTAGGCCAGCATCTTGCAAGATGTGCAGCGCATACTGATGTTGACAAATGGTGATACCTTTAGAGGATCGTGCAACTTCCAGCCCCAAAAAATACTTGACAGGACCAAGGTTCTTCAGTTTGAACTTGTTGTCCAGAATATTGGTCAAAAGTTGAACTTCAGAAATATTGTTAGAAGCAATCAGTATATCATCCACATATACAATAAGAGCAATAAAAAAAGAAGCATAATGTTTGATAAACAATGAGTGATCAGATTGAGATTGTATAAAACCAAGACTAAGTAAAGTAGAGGAAAACTTGGCAAACCATTGCCTAGAGGCCTGTTTTAGCCCATAAATGGACTTGTGCAATCGACAAGCAGCCCTTGGTACAGATTCCCCCTCTCCATGATGTCCTGGAGGTAATTGCATATAAACCTCCTCAGTGAGGTCGCCATGTAAAAAAGCATTGTTGACATCCAATTAAATTAGATGCCAATTATGAATAGCAGCAAGAGAAAGCAGAACCCAAACGGATGTCAACTTAGCTACAGGTGAAAAAGTGTCAGAAAAATCCACCCCCTCTTGTTGATTAAACCCTTTAGCCACCAACCTAGCCTTATATCTTTCAACGGACCCATCACTGTTATATTTGACTCGGTATACCCACTTACAGGCAACACTTTGCTTACCAAGAGGTAGAGAAACTACAGACCAAGTATTGTTCTTTTGTAAAGCACTGATCTCAGCATCCATGGTAGCCTGCCACTCAGGAAGTTGTGAAGCCTCAGAAAAACAGGTTGGTTCAAAATGAGTGGAGAGGGAATTTATAAAAGCAGTATGAGATGGAGATAGTTTGCGGTGAGACAAAAAATGGGATAGGGGATGGGCTGTGGAAGAACAGACATAATCATGCAAATGAGGAGGGGGCTGCCTAGCTCTAATTGGCCGAGAAGTAGGTAAAGAAGCAGTGGAAGTGTGTGGGGAAGGTAATGTAGTTGGTAAAGAAATAGGGAAAGAGGAGGGAGGAGTTGGGGAATTGGCAAAAGGAAAAATGTGTTCAAAAAATGTGACATCTCTGGAAATGAAAATTCTGTTTGAGGCTAAGTCCATAATTTTGTAGCCTTTGAAGCCAGGAGGGTATCCAAGAAGGACAGCTGGAGTGGCTCTTGGAGAGAATTTGTGACGTGATTTGGGAGGGTGGAACCATAGCTTAAATAGCCAAATACACGAAGGTGATCATAAACAGGGGGCTTGTGTGAAAGGATTTCAAAGGGGGGTTTTATGAGAAAGCAATGGGTATTGGGTCCTATTAATAAGGTAGATGGCAGTCAAAACACAATCCTGCCAGTAATCTAAAGGGATAGTGGATTGGAAATGTAAGGAACGGGCAACATTTAGGATATGCTGGTGTTTGCGTTCCACCACCGAGTTCTGTTGCGGACGATAAACACATGAGTGAAAAACCTGAATATTTGGCTGTTTATGTTGTGGTTCCACCCTTCCCAAATCACGTCACAAATTCTCTCCAAGAGCCACTCCAGCTGTCTTTCTTGGATACCCTCCTAGCTTCAAAGGCTACAAAATTCTGGACTTAGCCTCAAACAGAATTTTCATTTTCAGAGATGTCACATTTTTTGAACACATTTTTCCTTTTGCCAATTCCCCAACTCCTCCCTCCTCTTTCCCTATTTCTTTACCAACTACATTACCTTCATATTGGCAATATTAACAATGGAAATCATATCTAACAGAAAGTAGAGAAAAATAAAATTCTGTATATTCATTGATCGATTTCACTGTACAAACAATAAGGAATTTAAAGGAAAGGGAGCAACAAATTCTGTTACAATGAGCGAGTGACGTGGCCACTAAGCACAGATAAAATGGAAGAATAAAAAAATACAAGAAAATAATATGCTAATATTCTAATAAAACATTGCAAAAGGTGTTCCAAATCCTCGGCCTTAGACATCCCCATCATATCGATCTTTTGAAATCTTCATATGGTTCCTTGGACTTTTTCACCACATCAAAGCACTTTTTCACCTTCAGAGTACTTTTCTTTACCTTTACCGACGCCATTTCCTGTCATTTTCGATTCTCCAAAGTGTGAAATCTTGTTCTTTGAACTATTTTACACTGCTTATCTTCCTTCGAAATAGAAATCAATTCTGAATTGGTTTCCAAACTGAATCAATTTGGAACCGAATTGAACCGATTTGAGTAAAAAAATGTTCCGTTCTTTGAACCGAACTATTCCGTTTTACAAAAAATTCAGTTTAGTTCAACCTATACCCACCCTAATATGTACATGATTCAAATCCCCTGTGAAGCAAGGACACCGAAGTACCATACATGGAAGTTTCCATGGGATTGATTATCCCCTCCTAGATAATGATACTTCTTTACGTTAGTATCTCCGTAACTAAAATGGTTCAGCAACTAAAACTTTGCGCGTCTCTCGAACCATAATATAACAACCATCTACCTAAATTGCTCGTTTAATCCCTTTAACCCCGTTTAGCTCCCTAAGAAGCTTCTTCAGCCGGTACACACTACAGAACACAAAGGAAGAGCACCCTACAATACAGATACATACTAGTGTAAGTAGTAAAGAATTAGTAATAAATCCAAAACCACAAACCGCATCCTCTCACGCGTAGCAACATTTTTATTCCCTCTATTTCTGCATTCCGGTTTTGCCCTTGTACTTAGCCCACCAAATTTCATGGCTGCTTCCAGTTTGCACCTTATAGGAAATTTCCCATAAACCCATTTGTCCAATCCCTATTCCCCCAACCCCCCTTGACCAATTAATCCTCTTTGTTATATATATATATATATATATATATATGGAAAAATGTGTATCATTTTAAATGAGATAAAGTTGTGTCATTTTAAGTGAGAGAAAGAGATAGATAAAGGAGGAGAGAGAGTGAAAAAAAATATAAAGGTGTGGGTCCCAACTCTTTGTGAGAGTGAAATGATATAAGTTGTGTCATTTAAAAGGACAAACACTTTTCCCATATATATATATATATATATATATATATATATATATATATATATATATATATATATATATATAGCCAGATTATTCTTATACTAATGTAAGAATAAGAAATCTTATACTAAATTTTGATTATTGATTTATTTACATTTAACTGCTCACTTAATTAATAATTAATAAATCAGAATCCTTAGATATGAATAAGATCAACAATTAAGATTGAAAGTGTAACTTGTGTAGAATGATCATGACTCTCTCTCTCTCTATATATATGTAGGTAATATTTACAAATTATTTGTGTACAAACTCTTACAAATTATACTATATATTCACGAGAATACATTTGTAGCCGAGTCTATTCTCGGGAATACATAGTTAAGTATGTAAACAAAAATTTTGTAATATAATATTTCCCATATATATATGTGTGTGTGAAAAAATATTTGTTCTTTTGAAGGACACAAACTTATGTCCTTTTAAAAGAGAGATAGACACAAAGAGATAATATTTTTTTATTTAAAATTTAAATTAAAAAAAATACTCACTTTCTCCCCCATGATTTCATTGCTTGTTTTTTTCTCTAAAAAATGATACAACTCTATGTTTTTTTATTATTATATATATATATATATATATATATATATATATATATATATATATATATATATATATATAGACGGACTACTATATGAAATAAATGACTGAAATTAAAATGCAGAAATTAAAACATAAAATAAATTTAAGGTGAGAACCCAAGCTGTATACGGTAGGCCGAAGTCAAACTTGGGTGGAAGGATGGAGAAGAGAAGAGTTCATTACATAAGCAGATATGAAATAACACTTTTATTCAAAACATAAAGATTGAGATTACAGTTACAGATTGAAAGATTAAAGAGAAAACAGAGAAGAAGAGAAAACTCAGAAGTACCTCGCAGTCTCTCTCTCTAGACTATCTCTCTAAACTCAGCTAATAAAAGGATGCCTTCAACATACTGAAGCAATCCTTTAAATAGATTGAAAAATCACTATTGCTACAGTACAAGTTACATGACCGGTACTGTTTGAACAGTGTAGGTTAAGTGAACAGTAACTGACTCGTGATGCTATAGTTTCTGCCGACACTTTGATTACGTCACTGTATGCGTCACCTTATGCTGACATCATGCTCATGTCATTTTGCCATCAGCGTTACTACAATGGTTTTCTTCAACAGTCTTCTGCTAAGTTGATTCCAAAACAATCATCCTCATTTTGGTAGAAGTCTTCTGTTGAAGAAGAGATAGAAGGAGATGAAGAACCTGTCTTCTGTTTAGAACTCTCAGCTTCTTCTTGGAGTAATTGAAGAATACCTTGCAAATTCTTTGCAAAATTTTCTTTGCCGGTTGATGCTGCTAATGCTGCTGTGATCTGAGCCTTTTGATTCAAGAAAACGGAGGTTTCTGGATCAGCTGGCTTGATGCTTTTTGGATGTTTTTTAAACCAGAGCTTGACATTTTCTGGGTAAGCTCTTGAAGCATCAAATTCTATCCACCATTTAACAAAAGCTTGTCTCCTGAGTAATGGTAGTCTGATGCCTGTTTTCTCGCTGTAATTGTACTGCCATGAAAATATCCATGCCAGAGAGAACTTTGAGAAAAAATGCAGATCTATTGGAAAGGGATCTGCTAGATTGTCGAATTTTTTGGAAAAGATTGTCATTCCTTCAAAGACTTGTGGAGGAAGGATATCAAGGATTGGTCCAAAATAATCCCACCATTTATTAAACCATTGCGGGAAATTATATTGGATATTTTGCTTAAAGTAAATTAACCATGAATGTTTGTTTTCTTTATTTTGCATGAAGAAGACATTGGTCCAGGCTAATTCATAGTCCCAATAATTATATCCAATTGGATCATAAGGCTGGGAAAATTTGGTTATTTTATTTGGATTTCCATATTCTGCTGGGGTGATCACCTTGAGAATCTGGATGGTTGAATGAGTAATAAACTCAGGGTCTTTTGGACTCTTATAGTGTTTGATGGAAATAGAGTTTGAATCAAGTAGAATAAACTCATAAAATTTTTGGGATTTAGTTGGAGAATGTGGTTTGAAATGAAATTGTCGTCCTTTGAAGTCTTTGGGGAAGATCTTCACAGGAACCTTGGTTGGTTTATTATCCCAGTAGGATGGTTCCATTTGGATTACTTCTAGAAACTTGTTCTTTGAGACATATGGTGTTTGAGGTTTTGGTTTCTGGGTAGAAATAGGTTTGGGTTGGATTTCTAGGGCCCTGTTTGGACGGTTAGAGATCTGCTTGGTTTTTAGGTTATCAATCAAAACAGAAAGACTTTCTTCCTGTTCATCTTCTGAAGCTATTTCAGCCCAGGTTTTCTTTGGTAGATGGGTCAAACCTTGGTCTTGGAAGGCTTGAAGTGTT